TATAATTACCAACCTGGTTGCGGGTCATATAGACACAGACTCATTATAAACATGACACCTATATTTGCTAGTGCTGTGAATTCAGCTGGTTTTTTGCAGAAATCATTTGATTGAAATGGGTGGGGTTGGGAAATATGGGTAGTTGGTGTGTTTGTAGCGCCAAGACGGATTGGACAAAAATTAAAGCAGAAGGCATGGTACCAGGAAGGAGGGACAGGGGCCGACCAACACGAAGATGGGCACAGGATATAAGTGACTTCTTGAGTATGAAAGTACACGAGGCAGGAGAGCTGGCGACACACCTTGAGTTTCTTTCAGGCAGAACGTGATAAGATCGACGATCTGGAAAGGACCTGCTACATGATGATGATGATGATGATGATGATGATGATGGTGTGTTTGTGTGTACGTATGTAGTCGGCGCACTTTTCAGGTTCATCGCCACGATTCCGTCTTCAGACAAACCAGTGCCAAAAAAAAAAGGTTACAGTACTCATTTGATTGTCGGCTCTGTGGCTAAGTCGATGGGAACGCTTCGTAATGCCGGGATGCCGGGTTCGATCCCAGCTGCAGGCCATGTGCCTTGCGTTGGTTTTGACAATGGAATCAGGAAAGCTGACCGTCCAGGAAGCAATGGCAAACTACTGGACGTAAATTTGCCTAGAAAAACCACACAACAGCCATGGGTTGTTGGAGTTGGTTCTGCAATGTCCTGTAAAGGATACGCAACTAACCTTGACTCATTTCATTGATAAACCTGCCGACCAGTGAAGAAAAGAGTGTTGCCTTACGCTGTACCTAACGTCTGGATTTGTCCGCAACACGTGCTTCACTGGCAGGATCAAAGATTTGGCGACATCCGTTTTGGGTTGTCACTATTTCGGTTTTCGCTTTTATGTGTAATATTTAGATTTTCTTTCTCCATTCTGCACATTCTTCTTCTTCTTCTTCTTCTTGTCTCTACTCCTGGAATGACTCGCGTTGTCAGGACATGAAGAGATCTCTGGAACGGGCCCTCCTATTCGCTTCGTATAAAGAACTTTTCAGTGTCTCTGATATTTCTGCGGTCCATTACCTGCGTGGTCGACCTCTGGCTCTGTTACCGTCGTATCTGTATAACATTGCTCTCTGTGGTTCCCTTTCTGATGCCAGTCTTGTTATATAGCCAAACCATTTCATTTGCTTTATATCTTTAAAGTTCAATATTGGTTCTGTGCCGACTCTCCTCCCGATATCATTCCCAAGTCGATCTTTCCTTATTACACCTAGCTGTTCTTCTGTTTATGAGCAAAAATGCCAACTTATTTTGTAATTTTACACCAGCGTCACAGGAAAGTAAAAAAAAAATGCTCCACGGGTGAGTTTTGGACCGCTGGTCATAGTTTGCCCACCCCTGGTCATAGTTTGCCCACCCCTGGTCATAGTTTGCCCACCCCTGGTCAAGGGTTTAGTTTGGGACTGGTTTGTGATGCTTGGACTAGACCAGTGTTCTTCAATTCATGGTCCACGGCCCACTGTTGGGCCACGGGAAAGTCCACATGGGCCACCACTTGTTACCCTGTAAAAAGTTAGCAAAGGTGTTTTTCTTTTCCAAGATTGCAGTCTGTTTAGCATGGATGTAAACAAATTGTAGAAATCCCAGAAGCCCAGTCTGCAACAGCAGAAGTCACCTTAGCTAAAAAATTATAATTTTGTGATAATGAGTTCCATTTTTTTGTTAACACTTTCAGTCCCAGGGAACGCATCATACGTTCATAGGTTCCTTCCTAGAAGCCTAGTGACTGCCCGAGGCACTGATTATACTTCTTTTTCTTCTTTCGTTCGCCTAAAATAGATTATCTGTATTTGCAGTGTTGTCTCTGGTATGAACTTCACTGTCTTTTGTAATTCACTCAGCGACCCGTAAAGTTTTACTTGCACCGGTATTTCTCTTGGCCAAAAGTTTTGCCTTGATATGTTGTTTTTGGTCTTGGAGGAAATGATCTGTTGTCTCAAGTGCCAGTCCACATGTGCACATAGCTGATTCGCCGATTTTAAAATTGTGGCTGCAAAGTCGAGTGTGTCCTGTTCTGAGACGTAGAATAATAACTTTCTGTGGTCTGTCCATACAATGGTAATCGTCTTGTGCCGGTTTTCTTCTGTTGATAAGAGACTGGTACGTCAGGTTGTTTTTCACTTGCACCTTTCTTAGCTTGTTTATCAGCTTTTTCATTTTCAGGAACTCCACAGTGGGATGGTATCCATTGCATAGTTACCTTACACCGGCTGCCTTGTTTAGAAAGTAGTGTTCGTATACCAGGTAGTTTTCCCAATTGGAGCGCCTGGAGCACCGCTCTTGCATCTGTCAGAAATACCACAGGTTGTGAAATCTGACGTATATTTAACAGTTTCTCTGCAGCTATTTTGACGGCTTGAACTTCTGCATCATAGTTATGTATACGATTATACATTCATCTTTACCACCCTTGGTCCTCTGGTGCTAAACCATCTGGAACTGAAAGAGTTAAATTACTGCTATCTGTATTTAAAAAATGTGTTTGGTTAACTGTCAGGTTGGGCCGCGGAATAGTTAACCCTGTTTTGGTGGGCCGCAGGTGTAAAAGGGTCAAGGAGCAAAAGTCTAGATCAGTGGTTCTCAGCCTTCCTAATGCAGCGCCCCTTTAGTACAGTTCTTCATTTTGTGGCAACCCCCAACCATACAGTTATTTTCATTACTACTTCATAACTTCAGTTAATATTTGTTTTCCTTATGGTGTTTAGCGACCCCTGTGAAAGGGTCGTTCAACCCAATATGTGTTTTCCCTATGGTCTTTGGCGACTTCTGTGAAAGGGTCGTTTGACCCAATATGTGTTTTCCCTGTGGTCTTTGGCGACCCCTGTGAAAGGGTCGTTCGACCCCAAAAGGGTTGCGACCCATAGGTTGAGAACCACTGATATCAATCATCAGACTGTTCATTTCACTAAAGATTAATCAGCACAAAACAGGCATCATCAGTCATTTTACACTTGTGGAGCTTTTGAAGAGTTCGAAGCATCTGTAGATCTGTCCAGGGTGCTTTGATGATAATCCTTACTAATCACTGTTCAGCCAGAAAGTGTTGAAACAGAGGTCATCATCATCCCATAACACTACGTGTCGTTGGGTCACCGGTTTCTGTTGACTGTCTGATCAGCTCTCTCCACCTTTGGCGATCAGTTGCGATGGACTTTATGGTTGCATGCCTGAGGCCTGTCCAGTCAGTCAGGTTCTGTAACCAGGTCTTTCTTGGTCTGCCTCTTCTCCTCTTTCGTGTCGTTGGGTCACCAGTTTCTGTTGACTGTCTGATCAGCTCTCTCCACCTTTGGCGGTCAGTTCCGATGGACTTTATGGTTGCATGCCTGAGGCCTGTCCAGTCAGTCAGGTTCTGTAACCAGGTCTTTCTTGGTCTGCCTCTTCTCCTCTTTCGTGTCGTTGGATCACCAGTTTCTGTTGACTGTCTGATCAGCTCTCTCCACCTTTGGCGGTCAGTTGCGATGGACTTTATGGTTGCATGCCTGAGGCCTGTCCAGTCAGTCAGGTTCTGTAACCAGGTCTTTCTTGGTCTGCCTCTTCTCCTCTTTCCCTCTACTAAGCCCTGCAGTATTGTTTTTGAGAGGCTGTTAGATCTTATTACATGTCCATACCATTGTATTTTTTGCCTTTTCACCGTAGTTAAAAGAGGTTCATAGTTGCCGATGTGGTGTATAATTTTATGGCAGACCTCTTTGTTTGTTCTTCTTCTTCTTTCATTCGCTTCAAAAAATTATCTATATCTGCAATGCTGTCTCTAGTATGAACTTCACTGTCTTTTGTAATTCACTAAGTGGCCCGTAAAGTTTGACTTCCACAAGTGTCTCTTTTGGCCAGAAGTTTTGTCTGGGAGTGTTAAATCTGGGACAGTCTTGGAGGATGTGATCTCTTATCTCAGGTGCCAGTCCACAGGTACACATGGCTGATTCACCTATCTTAAATATTTTGTACATATTGCAGCGAAGTCAATTGTGTCCTGTTCTAAGGCGAAAGATAATGACTTGCTCTGGTCTGTCCATAAAATGGTAATCGTCTTGTGCCAGTCTGGGTGGCTTTTTGATTGATTTTATTATTATCTTCTTCTGTTGATAAGAGACTGGTACGTCAGGTTGTTCTTCAGTTGCACCTTCCTCAGCTAGTTTATCAGCTCTTTCGTTTCCGTGAACTCCACAGTGGGAAGGTATCCCTGCATAACTAAATTACAATGGTTATCTAGTTCGGATAATAGTGTCTGTATACTTAGTAATTGTCCAGACTGGAGTGCCTGACGTACTGCTTTTGCATCTGTCAGGAATACCACTGGTTGTGAAAAATACCCTGTATTTAGTAGTTTCTCTACCGCTATCTTGATGGCTTGAACTTCTGCATCATAGTTGTGACAGTGCTTTCCTGTTGGTATTTTGGTTGTATCCCTGGTATTATTAGGATACTCAATGTACACTCCCGCACCTCCGTTTCTGACTGCACTTTCTGCTGACCCATCTGTGTAAACACGGACCCAAAGATTCTGCGGGTATTCATCATCAAGTAGACTGAGGGTGGCTGTTTTACACTGCACACTGTTTTGTTCTTCTTTGTCAAATACTCACTTCTGTCTTGATTTGTATTGGAAACGTATACTCCTCTCTCCAGAGAGTCCGTTCTGGGATAGCATTTAAGGGGCTAACAGTTGCAGGCAGATCAGTTGTTTGTCTGCAGAACTGTTTGGTCTGGTTGATGAAACTGTTTCTCTTTACTCATCCCAGAGCTAGATTTTGGGATCTTTCATTCAAAGTCAGCGAGAGATATGTGCTCAGCATCATACCTGCCACCTTTACTTCCCAGGACTTTATGTCGCACCCATTTTAGGCCGGGTCGACCTGGGAGCCAAAGTCATTTTTGAAAAATATTTCTAGAATTATTTATCAACTGTATAAAACTTAAGATCTACCTCTTGCTTCCATTCTGACAGGGTCAGGCAATATCATGGATACCCTGGATGAACTGCCGGCAGGGATCGGCCAGTATGATGACTTTCACACCATTGATTGGCTACGGGACATTGCCCGGGACCGCATGCGGCACAGGCACATTGTCAAGAAGCGCCAGGAAGGACTATGGGAGCAGATCAAGAGTGCCCATGATGCCTGGTCAGGATGGGTGTGTGTCTTCCTCGTCGGATTAGCAGCAGGTAAATTTTTTTTGTCTTCTTCTTCCTCTTCTTTTTTTTCTTCTTTGTTGACCCTTTAAAGAGCAGTTACCACACTGCATTGTAGTTTACAGCTAGGCAGCAACAGCAATATCTGCACATTTCGACCAAGCAAATATAATTTCAGCAAATCCCTCAAGTAACTTCTTCAAATATGCTTATTAGGAACAGTGGGTCATTTGTGTTTTCCTTGAAAAATAAGACCCAGAACCCACCATGTTTGGTTCGGTTTCAGTTGTTGGGAAAAAAATAACAAACTTCGTGACTCTTTTAACCTGCTTCTTAATTGAGCAGTGGTTATATCAAGTCCGTGTTTACTTGCTATCTTGAAGTTGTATTTATTCGTTGTGGCATTTGGTTACGCCTGAAAGTCCCTTTTTCCTTTGTGGTTCATTCCTTTCTTGTGGCGTAATGGAACGCCTGATGAGTTCCTGATTTGGATGTCTTTCTGGAGAAGTCTTTCTAATTGTATAGTCCATGTGTCTTTGACCTTCATCTATATCCCTTAATTATTCTTTCACAGGAGATGCAACCCATGGGTTTATCAGACAGCGAGAGAGGGAGAATTGCCCACCATTATAGGATATAGTTATCAGGAAGGCTAACCCAGGTGATAGAGGCCTGCAGAAATTGGTTGTGTTGGCCGAAAGGCTGAAATATTGCAGCCATGTTGTAAATAAGCACAAACGACGCATTTATCTTCTTTGGATGAATGAAGAAGAGGAAGAAGTATGATATAGTTGGAAATTTGTTAGTTGCCTGGTATAATTGTAAACTGTATATTGGCATGGTAAATAAAGAGGTCCGCTGTGTATGATTTAGTCCTAAATTGACGCAATAAATAAAGAAAGAGGGGCACTGTGTATGGTTAGTTATAATTTGATTTATATGTTAAATAAGGAAAGATGTACACTATGTAGATGCAGTTGTAAATTGACTGATATAATAAATTTTTAAAGAGTGCACTTCATATAATGTAGATATAAATTATAAATTAAACTCTTCAAAAAGATAGTAAAATGTAAATTCACATGATAAATAATATAGAAGTCCACCATTGTATGTTGTAGTTTAAAACTCTAAATTAACATGGTAAATAAAGATAGATAGAGGTTCACTTTGTATGTAGCAGTAATACATTGTACATCAACATGGTCAATAAAGATAGAGGTTCACTTTGTATGACACAGTAATACATTGTACATTAACATGATCAATAAAAATATGTATGTAGCAGTAATACATTGTACATTCACATGGTCAATAAAAATATGTATGTAGCAGTAATACACTGTACATTAACATGGTCAATAAAAATATGTATGTAGCAGTAATACATTGTACATTAACATGGTCAATAAAAATATGTATGTAGCAGTAATACATTGTACATTAACATGGTCAATAAAAATCTGTATGTAGCAGTAATACATTGTACATTCACATGGTCAATAAAAATATGTATGTAGCAGTAATACATTGTACATTAACATGGTCAATAAAACTATGTATGTAGCAGTAATACATTGTACATTCACATGGTCAATAAAAATATGTATGTAGCAGTAATACATTATACATCAACATGGTCAATAAAAATATGTATGTAGCAGTAATACATTGTACATTAACATGGTCAATAAAAATATGTATGTAGCAGTAATACACTGTACATTAACATGGTCAATAAAAATATGTATGTAGCAGTAATACATTGTACATTAACATGGTCAATAAAAATATGTATGTAGCAGTAATACACTGTACATTAACATGGTCAATAAAAATATGTATGTAGCAGTAATACACTGTACATTAACATGGTCAATAAAGAAAAATGCCCACCGTGTATAATGTTTGGACAGCAACTTTTTCATAACCAACATGTGCCCCAATATAGCTGTTTCAAATGATTAATCAAGGTTTCTAGAATGTGTTCCTGTTCCTTGTATTTGCATCCAAATAGTGGCTGCTCCTTGCATCTCTTGGTGTCATAATGAAGGAGTAGACCAGCTGACCTCTTGGCGTGAGTTGGTTGAGGGCCTATGCTCTATTGGGGGATAGAAAGGCAGAAGAAGAAGAAGATCAGTTGGCCAGCAATGCATGTGGGAACGAGGCTGGACAGAACGGATATCATAAACATTGTATGGACTGGGCTCGTGGATAAATATGAGTCTTGAATACTAACATGATTACGTGACCAGGTATTAAAGCATGGCGAAGCATGTCTGTGAGAGACATTATAACCAATTCAGACGTGCCAAGATGGTGATGTAAACAGTGTGTGATATTCAACGGATGTAGAATTTTTTAGTATTCTCAATGTGATTTTTTTGCAGTTCAGTGTTCTTTGAAGGATGAAACTCCGGCAGGTCCAGTACATCGGCAGTGGATTTAAAGTTTTTTGTTTTGTTTTTTAAGTGTTCTAGAAACTGTAAAGGACATTAAGAACAGTCTGGAAAAGAAAAAGCAATAGGCAAGATTGTAACACTTATAGAGGCATCTCCCTTTTAAGCCAAATAGGTGAAATCTTTGCCAAGATTCTGGAACAATGAATTTGATCTGTTGTAGAACCGATTCTGAGCCCAGCACAGGTCAGATTCAGGAAAGGAACAGGGTGTACTGAGGTTATTTTTGCTCCTAAAGCACATTATTGAAAAGACAATAGAACACAGGCACCAAATAAACATCGCTTTATAGATCAAGAAAAGGCTTTTAACAGAGTGAACAGAGATTTACTATGGAAAGCTATAAATGGAACAGTGCTAGACTATGTAAAAGCTATTTGCAGAGAAAGTGAAAGTGCGGTCAGAACAAGAGCTGGCCTTACAAACTGGTTCCCAGTAACATCAGGAGTCAAGCAAGGGTGTGTTCTTTCACATTTACTTTTTGTAATATTCATGGATAATTTTAATAAAATAGACATAACACCACCAGATGTCGATAAACAGGAGAACTTCAATGAGCTGCCCTTTGCCGATGATCAATGCATATTCCACACTGAAAGTAAACAGCTGCAGGACCACATAAACCAATTATATGACAGTTGTCTTAAATATCACATGAAGATCAATAATGAAATAACAGAAGACATGAGAAGTAAAGAGCAACAAACCATCGACATAAAGATCAAACTCTAAAACAAGTGCAAGAACTTAAATATTTGGCAAACATCTTTACATACAATGGCAAAATAGACAGAGAGATAGAAACGAGAATCAAATAAGCCAACAATGTCACATACCAACTTGCTCTAATTTTAAAACACCCTGCTTTCCCAATAGAGATTTAAAAAAGACAAATTATAGATACAATTTTGATACCGACTTTAGGTTATCAGTGTCAGACTTGGACATTGACAAAAGAAAGTGAGAGAAAACTAAACATCTGTGAGATGAGATGTTTGAGAATGGCTGTGAATAAAACCAAAAGTAATCGAGTGAGAAACGATGTGATCACAAGAATTGTTGGAAAAACACTCATCGTCAAATTTATTGAGAAACAAGAAATGAAATAGTTTGTCCATCGAATGAGAATGAAACCAACAATGCCAGCAGCAAGAGCAACCTGAAAAGAGGCAGGGGAAGACCAAAATGAAGATGGATTGAAGGAGTCACTGACACCTTTAGACTGCATAACATAACAGCATATCAAGCGACCGAGCGCACCCTGGCTCAGCTGCTGATCGTCTGATAAACTGGCAAAGCAGATATGACAAAAAGCAAAGATAACCGATAACCAACTCCTCATGCGAGCAGTCAGTAGTTACCTTGGATTGGCTGCAGCAACAGAGGACTGAGCACACACAATGTACCCAATGTACAGTGAGGTCAGTTGTTATTATGTAACAATATAACTTGGTGTCAGTCTTGCAGGCTACAATCCTGGGGGTGGGGCGCAGATTATACAAATACCTTTCACTGTCGATTTAAACCCAAGATCTACCATAGTTTGAGAACCCTTGTCATAAGCTAATGCTATAAAAGAAAGTAGGAGCAGAAAAAGTTGAAAAATACAGTATAATGGTTCTCAAATCTGTCATGAATAAACTTTGAATATCTCATTTCCTGGAGTGACACAGTCGATACCTCTTGCTTGGCCATTATAGTATTGATTTTAATCTGAGTACAGTCCGGAATGAACAGTTCCCTCTGAGGCAGCCAGGCTTGACAAATCGCTAGTGTGGGCAGGCAACAGGGGTTAATGAGTTATAACATGTAGGTTCTTTCTTGTAATGTTTATTCTTTGTAACTTTCATGATCTATAGGGCAGCTAGATTTCTGACAAGGACTAGTTTTTGTTAATTTTATTTCTTTGCTTTTCTTCTCAAACCCTAGGGTGTAAAGAAAAATGGTTTGTTTTTTTTGTGTTTGATTCTTCTTCTTTTTCTTCCTATTCTTCTTCCTCTTTTTTTCTTCTTGCTATGCCCTCTTTCTTTCTTCCTCTTTTTCTTCCTTTTCTTCTGACTAGTATCCTCCATTGACGCATAAACCGTTAACTAATTCCCTATGGAGCGGCCAGGCTTGATGAATGGTCAGTCGCCGACAGATTACAGATAACCATGAAATATTCCAGACAGTCTTCTGCTTCTCCTTCAGCATTCTGAGCCCTTGAGGTTCATTACTGCAGATATCACCCGCCTCCATTCATCTCTCTGGTTGACCTTCTCTTTCCAGTTGGTGACGCCAAGTGTTTTCAGGTCTGTCTGGATATTATCTCTCCATCGTCTTCTTAGTCTACCTCGTGGTCTACCACCATTCATCTCCCTCGTGTACACAGTTTTTACTTTTCTGTCATCTGACATTCTTTCAATATGCCCCAACCATTTCAGTCTATTAGGAAAGGAACTGAAAGAGTTGACAGACTGGTCATTTCTGCAGTGATTAGCGGAGGCATAAAAGCATAGACATGGTAGACAACTTGAATGCGCTGTATTCCAGAGAAATTGAGACAAAGGAGTCAGAAACAGTGAGCAGCCTATTAGAAATGGGTATTAAACAAGGACAAGCATGCAGACACTGGTTGCTGACAAAGAAAGAAGATATGCCAGTTAACTCCCCCTGGATATGGTGAGCATGGAGACACTGAGATAGCTGCCACTTTTGAAGATGGAGCACGAATCAGTTGGACTGATGCACTAGAGTGTCAGTCTGGACAACAAGTAACAGTGAAGTTAATTTTATTGACTTTAAACCTTTAGTTACAGAAACTGCATGTTAATCTCACCAGTCTTGACGAGAGGTTCTGGCACATGCTTGAGGCTCAGCGGAAAAGTAAGACGGACATTTAATCAGAATGCTGCTGGCACCATTATTATCGGAACTCTTCATTGGCTGCTGAGGATGGAGACGGAGTGCTTATGGGAATGCCCCGAGTGCTGTGATGTCAGTTCTTGAATCAACTCAATTCATCAACTCAAATCTTGTGTTGTCAACATGTTTAATAATTAACAAGTAACAATGAAGTTAATTCTGTTGACTTCAAACCTTTATTCACAGAAACTGTATGTTAAATTCTCACCAGTCTCTCATTAATTGTGTCCCATCTCTAATTGTGTCCCATCTCATCTCTAATTGTATCCCATCTCTAATTGTTTCCCATCTCTAATTGTGTCCCACCTCCGCAATGAACGTTGGCTACCCTGTAAACCCTTCCATCTTTGAGAATATTACACATTGATGCCCCAGTCTTTTCTAAGGTGCAACTCTCATGCCACTGTCCAAAACCACAAGAATTTTTTTTTTAAATATATAGTGAAATAATGTCCCAACAGGTACATGTGCAGGCTTCATTGACATTGGAGCCACCTGGATGTCAGATCTGAAGGAAGGGGTGTGCCTAGAAGCCTTCTGGTTCAACAAAGAGCAGTGCTGCTGGAGTGCTCCTACGCTCAACACTTCATCCTGGGATGAAGATGAAGAGGGCTGTCCACAGGTATGGTGTCCCAAGGGAGGGAATCATTATTGTGTGGAGTGATGTGTAGGGCTGTTTAGGATAATCACATTCTTCATTTTTCATTCCCTCCGTTGAGCTTTCAGTCACATTTTATGTCCTTTTCCTCCACTGAGCTTTCTGTCATATTTTATGTCCATTCACTCCATTGAGCTTTCTGGTCACATTTTATGTCCATTCACTCCATTAAGCTTTCTGGTCACATTTTATGTCCATTTCCTCTGTTGAGCTTTCAGTCATATTTTATGTCCATTTCCTCCGTTGAGCTCTCTGGTCACATTTTATGTCCATTCACTCCATTGAGCTTTCTGGTCACATTTTATGTCCATTCACTCCATTGAGCTTTCTGGTCACATTTTATGTCCATTCACTCCATTGAGCTTTCTGGTCACATTTTATGTCCATTTCCTCTGTTGAGCTTTCAGTCATATTTTATGCCCATTTCCTCCGTTGAGCTCTCTGGTCACATTTTATGTTCATTTCCTCCACTGACCTTTCTGGTCACATTTTATGTCCATTCACTCCATTGAGCTTTCTGGTCACATTTTATGTCCATTCACTCCATTGAGCTTTCTGGTCACATTTTATGTCCATTCACTCCATTGAGCTTTCTGGTCACATTTTATGTCCATTCACTCCATTGAGCTTTCTGGTCACATTTTATGTCCATTTCCTCTGTTGAGCTTTCAGTCATATTTTATGCCCATTTCCTCCGTTGAGCTCTCTGGTCACATTTTATGTTCATTCCCTCCTTTGAGCTTTCTGGTCACATTTTATGTCCATTCACTCCATTGAGCTTTCTGGTCACATTTTATGTCCATTCACTCCATTGAGCTTTCTGGTCACATTTTATGTCCATTCACTCCATTGAGCTTTCTGGTCACATTTTATGTCCATTTCCTCCGTTGAGCTTTCTGGTCACATTTTATGTCCATTTCCTCCGTTGAGCTTTCTGGACACATTTTATGTCCATTCACTCCATTGAGCTCTCTGGTCATATTTTATGTCAATTCACTCCATTGAGCTCTCTGGTAATATTTTATGTCCATTCCCTCCGTTGAGCTTTCTGGTCACATTTTATGTCCATTTCCTCCGTTGAGCTTTTTCTAGTCACCTTTTATCAATATTCAACACAGCACAGCTATATTTAATTTTTAATAATTGTTTTAAATTTTAATTATTTATTTTATAATTTAAACTTGTTTATTTTTGTCTGTCTTTTTTCAAACACCTTTTTTTTTTTTTTTTTATTCATGTCATAGCCTTCATGTTCATATTTTTTCTTCAATAGATATTTCTTGGTTTTATATTTACCTTGGTCGTTCAAAAGGTCTTTTTGTTTGTCCATTGAGTTTTACCTTCGGCACTCCTGATCTAGACATTCTGACTATTACTGTGGTACCATTTAAAAATGAATGACCGAAGTCATCTGTGTATTAGCAGATGTCTGTTGACATTGCAGACTGTTGTTGTTTTATGTGTAGATTTGTTTTAACTCTTAACTCTGCCACTATTGATTACATTTGTGCCTTCTGGGTAATTTATCATATACATAACAAGCATGTTTTAAAATTCACTGAGGCTGTCATATATGCATGGGCAGTTCTGCGGTTTGCAGACAAAAGGATTACATGGTCAGTTTAACACTACCGTGGTGAACAAAGCATACAATGAAAGAATGAACTGTTTCCTTTGTGTCTTTTAGTGGAAAGTATTAATTTATTCTTTGCTTTTATTGTATGTTTCCCAACTTATTAGGGTTACTTTTCCTTTGGAGACTTTCTATCCCCCTCTTTAGGGTTCACCGGCTATAATCTCCGGTGGAAAATTCTGGTTGTTTGTCCACTCCTTGACTCTTGTCATAATCCAGAACTTGAGTTTTGCATGCACATATGTTTTACAGATCTGACTCATTTGTATGCAGACTTTTGGTTCCTTGCCTCTCAGGCAGATGTACTCTGACTTTATGGGAAACACCCCTAAATAGTTGGCCTCTATCACATCTTTATCAAGGGGCAGTGGGTCGATTCATTGTTTTCCAAAATTGGAGTCCTGGAAACAGGGTCTTTTAGTTGAAAGTGTAGTTAGTTCCACGGTAATCTCCCCAGCCAAACTAGGTCACGTTCCATTGATACATTTTTTAGACTCATCTGCTGTCCAGGGGGTTACGGCTATGTTGTTTCCTTTCTGGCTTGTCTTGCATTTATGTTTCTCTTCCAAGAAAGAGAATGCTTGTGACATAGGTTGCAGCACTTTCTAGGGGGATTGTGGGTTAGACCCAGTTACTAAATGTTTTTGTAGTGTTAAAAGGGCTGGCGTTCTTAAATATACACATGCGATATCAAGGGCATTGCAGAACACCCCCTAGCAATGTGCAAAGGTTGGGTGACTTAAGGTCGACCAAACAGAAGTAAGCTAGTGTGTAATGTGGGGAGATTATTGTGGAACTGACCGAAAGTATTAATTTATCTTTAGCTTCATTAATAAACATATTGGTGTAGCTTTTCCTTTGAAGTAAACTAAGCAGACAGAATAAGTGATCACCTGCATGGTCAATTCTAGGTCTCTACAATATTGCCCAGACTTTGTGCTGTTGAGAGGACGAACTTCAGTCCTGACCTTATTTGTCATCATCATGGGCTGTAATAGCCATGCTTTCCTACAGCATGATGGAACATTATTTTTTTTTTTAAACTGGAAAACGGTGCCAACAACATTATATGCGAATGTAAATTCTGCAGTATACGTGTTACAAGATACAGCAAAACATGCCAGGCTGCATACTGTGCAATACACCTACTCTTTGACTTACGACCTATGCAACTTGGGACCATCTGACCTTACAACCACAAAAATTAAAGGAATAACAAGAGTAAATAAAGAAAGATAACTACTTTGGTTACTATAGCGTCCATCGCATCTGAGTGTCAAAGCTAGAGGGAGCTGATCAGACAGTCAACAGAAACTAGTAACCCAGTGACATTTAGACTTACAGGATGATGATAATGGTGAACTACCTTGGTAAGGTCAAAAAAAAAGTTCCCAGAACTGATACTATAGAGTGCACATTGTGTATTATTTACATTATATATAATTATACAGCATCTGTGGCTTAGGCGTTATGAACGCGCTTTGTAGTGCCGGGTTCGATCCCAGCTGTGGATGATTTGTCTTGCGCTGGTTTCATCGGTGCTGCCAAGAGCAGACCGTTGGAAAATTCTGAATGTAAAATTTGACTAGAGAAACCACAACAGCCAAAAAATGCTGGGAGTGGTTCTGCAACATCCTGTAAAGGATATGCAACTAACTTTACAATTATACATTCATAGATTGAATTTTTATATTTCATATACAATTTGTATACTGATTTGATTGAAAATATTGTTAAAAAATATAAATTAGACCAGTTCGACTTACATCCTGTTCATCGGAATGGAACTGTATTTATGTCCTCATTAAGTGAATTTACATTGAGAAAACACTGCTTTGAAGATGTCTGTTTCCTCCACTAGTGGTGGTCATGGAGTCGCATTATGGGTGGAAGCCTCTCGGGAGCAGAGTCCTATATCATTGGCTATCTCTTCTATGTGGTGTGGGCTGTGGTGTTTGGTCTGTTGGCTGCCACGCTGGTCAGAATGTTTGCCCCATATGCTTGTGGATCTGGTGTACCAGAGGTAAGGGATAGAGGTTTATTTGTGAACTCTGTTTTACATCACTGATTTATGTGTGCTGCATCACTGATTTGTGTCTGCTACATCACTGATTGATATGTGCTATATCACTGATTGGTGTGTGTGCATCACTGTTTGGTGGGTGCTACATCACTGATTGATGGGTGCTACATCACTGATTGATGGGTGCTACATCACTGATTGATGGGTGCTACATCACTGATTGGTGGGTGCTACATCACTGATTGGTGGGTGCTACATCACTGATTGGTGTCTACTACATCACTGATTGATGGGTGCTACATCACTGATTGGTGGGTGCTACATCACTGATTGGTGGGTGCTACATCACTGATTGGTGGGTGCTACATCACTGATTGATGGGTGCTACATCACTGATTGGTGTGTGCTACATCACTCATTGGTGTGTGCTACATCAATGATTGGTGTCTGCTACATCACTGATTGGTGTCTGCTACATCACTGATTGGTGTCTGCCACATCCTTGACTGGTGTCTGCTACATCACTGATTGGTGGGTGCTACATCAATGATTGGTGTCTGCTACATCACTGATTGGTGGGTGCTACATCATTGACTGGTGTGCTACATCACTGATTGATGTCTGCTACATCACTGATTGGCGGGTGCTACATCACTGATTGATGTCTGCTACATCACTGACTGGTGTGTGCTACATCACTGACTGGTATCTGTGATATCACTGATTGGTGGGTGCTACATCACAGATTGGCGGGTGCTACATCACTGATTGGTTGATGCTACATCACTGACTGGTGTCTGCTACATCACTGACTGGTGTCTGCTACATCACTGATTGGTGGGTGCTACATCACTGATTGGTGGGTGCTACGTTACTAATTGACTGTCTGCTACATCACTGATTGGTGGGTGCTACGTCACTAATTGACTGTCTGCTACATTACTGATTGTTGGGTGCTACATCACTGATTGCTGTCTGCTGCATCACTGATTTGTGTTTGGAATCACATATGTGTTATATTACAAGTTTGTGTTTTACATAATCTGCTTAAATGTCAGAAAAATACATTTACCAACGGGGGGGGGGGGGGGGGGGGGGGGGGGGGGGGGAGGCTGGGGTCATGTTAAGAGAAGAAACTAGAACATGTTGTGACCAATGGAAAATGTGGAAAAAGAGACAGAGTAAGACAGCATGAGATTCTTGGCAGCCTTTTGTCATGGCATGGAGAAGTGTCAACACAAGGGCTGATATAGCTTTTATCAATCACAGATTGTGGAAAGGCATGATTTGCCCATGCAGTTGTCAAGCACTTGATGATGATGATGAGTCAGGTTATCGTAGTTCCAACCTCATAGCAAATTGGTCACCCAATGGTTGATTTGTTCCTGTGCTAAAGAAGACCCCACAAAATGTTCATCACTGTCCCCTTTGAAACAGTTGCTGTCGAAGCAAAGCCAATTACATACATCAGATGCATAAGGCTACCACCAGGTGGGCTAAGACAAATGATCCAACACTAGAACTGCAGTTCATCATTGATGGAAGCAGTTATGGCAGATCACTAGTTGCTAATGCAGTTAATAGCATAAGGTACCCTCACTTGCCATTTTCTGCATCTGCAGTTCACAGCATAAACCATGTTGGGTACAGTTGAAAAGCATACCAAGTAAATCTATGCATTCAGCTCAGTGGCTAGGTGATGGAACTCTATGTGGACTGTGTTATGTCAGTGATTTGTGCGTGCTACATCACTGATGATGTGTATCACATCATAGGTTTGTGTGTTGAATCTTGGGTCTTATGTTACAAGTTTGTGTTTTACATAATCTGTTTGTGTGTAAGATGACTAGAGTGTATGAAACCACTAGGCTGCATTACATGTGTTTAGATATTTGCTACCTTGCTGACATGTTTGAAAGTATGGGACATTACATAGCAGGTGCATGAGTGAAGTAGGAAGTTTCAACAAAACGCCTGCAGTTGACTCCGGTGTCACTACCTGGTGTGCTTGACCTGGTCATGAACAGTCTTTCACAGAAGTCACACCTCTTGAAACTTCCTGCTCCATTCATACACTTGCTGGATTGAGAGGCATGCGTTACCATGCCGGACTTTCATTGAGCAATGAATTTCTGAAGGTTTCACTTCTTCACTGATTTTTAAAAAAAGATAACAGAATGATACTCCTCTTTGTTGCATGTCAAAAGTGGGACGACCATCTTTGAACTATCATTATGACATCACGTTGTTTGTCTGCACCGTGATGTCACGGGCTTTACGCTCTTAGCATCCTTAACAACAGTATTGACCGGTTACAATATAATGCCCTGGTTATTGTAATTTCTATAGTACTTTTAAGGTTTTCATTTGAAGTCCTTTGTATTTGAAGGAGTTTGTGAGACAGAGGAGATAACAGATTGAAGAGAAGGGCATGTGATGAAGTTTGTTACAGAAAGGAAACATTTCTTTCAAAAGCCCTGGTGGTTATCTGTATTGACTGTGAAAGTATTGATGACTGACACCTGTATGTGTGTTACTACATAAAACATACCTACATTGGTTTTCAAGTCCATGCAGAAATACGTATCCACAGCCTCTCTTCTTTTGCCCACAGATTAAAACCATTTTAAGTGGATTCATTATCCGAGGCTACCTGGGCAAGTGGACATTGCTGATCAAGTCAGTGGGCATGATGTTGTCTGTGTCTGCTGGCCTCAGCCTTGGCAAAGAGGGGCCTTTTGTGCATGTTGCTTGCTGCTGTGGCAACATCTTCTCATATCTGTTTCCTAAATATGGCCGCAATGAAGCCAAGAAAAGAGAGGTGGGTCGATTTTCAATTTAGTTTATGATCCATAAAAAGTTTATTGTCCGCGTTAAATTTGGTACTTTATTTATTTTAAATTATATTGTTCTTTAGGGTGCCTGTGTTTTGAAGATTCATCGGGTGCAAGCTGTGGTATATACTTTGTAGATGCTGGTAGACCATTGGTATCTGTGAGATTTCTCTTCATATTATTTCTTCAAGAAAGATTTAATCCTCCGCCAGCTTTGCTAGGCCTGTCGCAGTTTAAGGAAATATTTACTTTTCACACAGTGCAAAACTGTGTGAGTATGCTGATATGACAGGAGGTTTGTTTAATTTGTTAAAAAACAGCAACTCATTTTAATTGGTAGAAAAGGAGCATCAAAGTTCAATTGGTAAGAAAAAAGCCCAGAATTTTAATTCGTCCAAAAACAGAACAGAGGTTTCATTGATTTTTTTTTTAAAGTGTAAAAACGGCATCAGAGTTTAAATTGTACAAAAACGCACTAAAGTTTAATTGGTACAAAAGCAGCATCAAAGTTTAATTTGAACAGCAACAGCATCAAAGTTTAATTGGTACAGCAACAGCATCAAAGTGTAAATGGTACAGGAACACACCAAAGTTTAATTGGTACTACAAAAACAGCATCAGAGTTTAAATGATACAGAAATAGCATCAAAGTTTAATTGGTACTACAAAAACAGCATCAGAGTTTAAATGATACAGAAATAGCATCAACGTTTAATTGGTACAAAAACAGCATCAAAGTTTAATTGGTACAGCAACAGCATCAAAGTTTAATTGGTACAGCAACAGCATCAAAGTTTAAATGGTATAGAAACACACCAAAGTTTAATTGGTACTACAAAAACAGCATCAGAGTTTAAATGATACAGAAATAGCATCAAAGTTTAATTGGTACAAAAACAGCATTAAAGTTTAAATGATACAACAACACACCAAAATTTAATTAGTACAAAAACAGCATCAAAGTTTAATTGGTACAAAAATGGCACCGAAGTTTAAAATAGTAAAAACACAATATAAATATTTAATTGGTACAAAAACAGTTAAGTTAGTTGCCTATCTTTTGCAGGATGTTGCAGAACCAAACCCAGCATTTATTATCTGTTGTGGTTTTTGTAGACAAAACAAAAACAGTAGCAAAGTTTAAAAACAGCATCAATGTTTAAATGAAACAGAAACAGCATCAAAGTTTAAGTGGTACAAAAATAGCATTGAAGTTTAATTTTTAGCAAAACAGCATCAAAGTTTAATTGGTACAAAAATAGCATTGAAGTTTAATTTTCAGCAAAACAGCATCATCGTTTAATTGGTACAAAAATAGCATTGAAGTTAAATTTTTAGCAAAACAGCATCAAAGTTTAATTGATACAAAAACAGCATAAATGTTTAATTGGTACAAAAATAGCATTGAAGTTTAATTTTTAGCAAAACAGCATCAAAGTTTAATTGATACAAAAACAGCATAAATATTTAATTGATACAAAAACATTAAAGTTCATTGGTATAAAAACAGCATCAAATTTAAACTGTCAAAAACTGCATCAACAAACACACTAGGCATCCACAGAAGCACAGACCATTCATACATAGTAGTCACCACGGGAATATCATTGATGAGCTTGAACTCAGTATTGAGGGTCACTCATTCAGACAGCAGCTGTAAACATATTGATAGGGGTGGCTTTCATTCATAGGATCCACAGCCCAGCCCATCTGTTCTATAATCATAACCATAAATGTGGGAGGGATAAAGCATGTTCATGCGGGCTGGGAAGGGAAGTTCATCCCTGAGGACTTGATCAGTGTCAACCTTCCAGTTATATCCTAACCTGGTTATGCATGATTTGAAACAGTTGACTGTGAAATAAGTGGCTAGAAGACATTAGTCATCAAGAAGAATGTGTCCAGTAGAGCGCCGTCATCTCTACCTTACAACTGTTGATACCAGTGGTTGCCCAGACATTTCTCTTATTTCCTCACTCCTCTTAAATTCATCCCTTTTTAAATTGAATCATAGACAGAAGAAACAAAGATGCCCCTTTACATTGGTTAATCTGTTGATGGTCTTGTGTTGCAGATCTTGTCCGCTGCCGCTGCTGCTGGTGTCAGTGTAGCTTTTGGGGCTCCCATTGGTGGAGTGCTCTTCAGTTTGGAAGAGGTAAGCCCAGTTTTGGCTCAGAAACAGTCGTAAAGAAAATATCTTGTGGATGTTTTAGCAATTACTTATGGATGTCTTGAAATGTCATCATATATCCATTCATAATGTGTATATACATATGTTACAATATATATATGTGTGTATGTTTATATATATATTTTATATATATTTATATATATATATATATATATATATATAATATATATATATATATATATATATATATATATATATATATATATATATATATATATATATATATATATATATATATATATATATATATATATATACATATATATAGAGAGAGAGAGAGAGAGAGAGAGAGAGAGAGAGAGAGAACGAACGAACGAACTTTATTTTCAAAGGGTCACAAATTGGGCACGCAGGCCCGTCTTACATTCGGCCCTTCCAATCAACCATCTTTCGCACAGCAGTTGTATTTTTACTAATAAAGCATGTTATGATCATATGATAATATGCATATTATGAATATTATAAAAGAACACAAAAGCATGAGTTGTAAAGTGCATGCAAAAAACCCGCGCGTGCATACATACACCCACATCCACACGATCACCCACTCACACACACATACATGCATGCAAACATTACATACACACATATATACGTACATACATACATACAAACAGAGAGAGAAAGGGGGGGGGGGAGAGAGATCAAGAACAGGACAGACTAAAACTGCATTTTTTAAAGTAAAGAAAATTTTATGCAATAAATCCATGTCACTAAAGGTTATAAAAAAAAGATTGCTTGCATGCCATATGAATCCAGTTTTAACATATAACTGGGAATCCTGGACAATTAGTCAAAAAGCTAAACAATTTCTTGAGGCCTTGCAAATGAGGTTTTCCAGAAGAAATCCTAGAATTTCTTGGACAGCAAAATAATAATGCAGCTAACATAAAATACTGATGTCTTCAAATATGGCTAAATCTGCTTTGCAAAAAGCTACCAAACCAGAAAGAAATATTTATTTTACATTTGTCACACTGTATGTAAGCCATTTGCGGCGTCCGTGGCTTAGGCGTTGAGAGTCCGACTCGTAACCCAGCGTACCGCGATCGAAACCCACTGCTGGCTGCGTGGATTTTTATCATGGTACGGGGCGTCGCAGGTCGACCCAGGTCGACCCAGCCTAAAATGGGTACCAGGATGGGCTGTCCTGGGAAAGTAAAGACAGCCGGCGTAATGCTGACCACATTACCCACCGAGTGCTGATGGTCTGTAAAAATATGGGCGCTCTTCCCATATGCTCGATACGCCTAAAGGCGTGGAAAGGGAACTTTACTTTTACTTATTTTACTTATATAAGCCATTTGTCACACAATATATAAGCCATTTGTCACACTATATATAAGCCATTTGTCCTTTTTTTTTTACAGGTCAGCTATTACTTTCCCCTGAAGACCTTATGGAGGTCATTCTTCTGTGCTCTGATTGCGGCATTCATCCTTCGCTCTATCAATCCCTTTGGAAATGACCATCTGGTGATGTTCTCAATAGACTACAATGAGCCATGGTCCCTGCTGGAGCTGGTTCCTTTCATCCTGATTGGGGCTCTGGGTGTAAGTTGCATAACTCTTCCTGTAGTGTAGGTCACTATTGGGGGGGGGGGGGGGGGTGTGTAATATATATTTTTTAAAAGGGGTCAGGGGTAAAACATTTCTAGTCATTTATTGTGTCCTCATGTGGGTTCCAGGCCCCCATGTGGGGCCGATAGGAGGGAGGAGGAATAACGAATAGACCCACTGCCCCCAACAAGCATGTCTCATAACTAGGGGTGTTTCTTTTGAGGTCAGAGTGCATCTGCCGGAGAGACAAGTAACCAGCAGTCTGTGTACACATTTGTACAGATCTGTGAAATGGATGTGCAGACAAACTTTAAAAAAAAAATAATAATAATGTCTAGAAATTGACAAACAACCAGAACTTTCCGCCAAAGTTCACAGCCGGTGAATGCAAAGAAGAAAATTGTATTATTGAAGATCAGCATTCGGGGAATAATGTTACCAGGTGTTCACATTTATAAATGATTTTTTTTTTTTTTTTTTTTTTTAATTTTGGGGGAAAAGGGGGAGGGGGGGTGTTGTGGGATGATATTTGGGGGTTAGTTTTTTCCAGGACTTGAGTATTGCTTGGCTGGCACATCCATTGTCCAGATCTGGGTTAGTGCATGTATAGTGTCCATTCCTTCACCTCATAGGTACATATACTGGGACTTCGAAGGAAAACATCAGTTCCCAACCACGTAGAGAAGTATATAGAGGTGTAGTGAAGAAGTCTTGACCAGCGTGAGCCCTGTTTATGGTGCGCCACCGATCAGGCACCTCTGTATGCATAATGACTGGCACCTTTCCATCTTTCTATACAATAATATTGTAGTGTGCTGGAAGAAGGCATGGGACTCACAGCCAATGGAGGTGATGAGGGTGACTAGCAAGACTCGTCTACATTAAGAAATGTCTTCCACAATTATAGCATGGGATTTCAGGACCGTCATTGTCAACATTTGACACCCACATCCATTTTTTTAAAAAATATGGCCTATCAACCAGTTTGGCAACTACAATACTTTTATGTAAATACATTCAGTGGTCAAGTCTGCCTTGTATCATATTGTTGACTGTTGTTTCAGGGTTTGTTTGGGAAGTTCTTCATCAAATTTAACATTATGTGGTGCCAGTACAGGAAGACATCTCGTCTAGGAAATTATCCGATTTTTGAGGTTAGTTTATCTTCTTCTTCATTGCCGATACTTTGTGGAAGGGAAGGGGGGATAATTGCATTGTACCTGCATATGACAGAGTTGGGATATATATGCCTTTTAGCTGTGTAAACTAGTACTGAAATACATGAAGAGACATTTCAAAATGGTTTGGACATGCAACAAGACTATCACCGGATAGTGCACCACAGAGGAAAGCCCTGTCAGACACAATGGAAGCAGATCTAGAGGTTGACCATGCTAACTATGGATAGATGGAATATCTGAGACCATAAATAACAACAACTATATAACACATACCAACCCTGACACCCGTTGCCTCTCTAAACTCTGATGCTGAAAGAAAGAACAGGAACAAAGTAAAAGAGTTAGGAAGCTGCAGCAGTCCACTGGCTACCTAGCTTCCCCATCATCTTAGCAGACTTGTATTCAGAGTTTCCCTTGTGGCTAGCTTCCCCATCATCTTAGCAGACTTGTATTCAGAGTTTCCCTTGTGGCTAGCTTCCCCATCATCTTAGCAGACTTGTATTCAGAGTTTCCCTTGTGGCTAGCTTCCCCATCATCTTAGCAGACATGTATTCAGAGTTTCCCTTGTGGCTAGCTTCCCCATCATCTTAGCAGACTTGTATTCAGAGTTTTCCTTGTGGCTAGCTTCCCCATCATCTTAGCAGACATGTATTCAGAGTTTCCCTTGTGGCTAGCTTCCCCATCATCTTAGCAGACATGTATTCAGAGTTTCCATTGTGGCTAGCTTCCCCATCATCTTAGCAGACTTGTATTCAGAGTTTCCCTTGTGGCTAGCTTCCCCATCATCTTAGCAGACATGTATTCAGAGTTTCCCTTGTGGCTAGCTTCCCCATCATCTTAGCAGACATGTATTCAGAGTTTCCCTTGTGGCTAGCTTCCCCATCATCTTAGCAGACATGTATTCAGAGTTTCCGTTGTGGCTAGCTTCCCCATCATCTTAGCAGACTTGTATTCAGAGTTTCCCTTGTGGCTAGCTTCCCCATCATCTTAGCAGACATGTATTCAGAGTTTCCCTTGTGGCTAGCTTCCCCATCATCTTAGCAGACATGTATTCAGAGTTCCTTCCCCTTGTGGCATGGATAGTTTTTTACATTTCCCTAGACTCATGAGACTGCTACTGGTATTACCAGAGTTGGAATTCTTCGCTGGCTGCTGAAGATGGGGACAGAGTACTTTTGGGAATGTCACGGATGCTGTGTTGCCCATTCTTCAAACTCAGCTCTACTCCCAGATTTATCCAGCTTAAAATATGTACCAGGAGATTGTCTGGGAAGTAAAGGCAGTTTAAATAATATTGACCACTTTATTTATTGATTGTCGTTTGACCTCCGCTAGTCTTGGAACAACAATTTAAATTCGGTACATTTCAAGATGAGATTACTGCTGAGCAATCTACTACCAAACTGCCTTCAACTAATTCAAATCCAGTGTGTCAGAATTATGAAATCATGATTATAACCCTTAAATGGTAGCAAAGAAAATGTTTGTATGGCTGTACAAAATATTACAATTAAACTGTTTCCAGGTATATTTTAGTATGACTGCAGAAAGGTGTAATTGAGCTTTTTCCAGGTAAATTGTAGTATGAGTACAAAATGGTATAAATGAACTGTTTCCTGGTAAATTGTAATATGACTGTACACAATGGTATAAATGAACTGTTTCCAGGTAAATTGTAGTATGACTATAAAATGGTATAAATAAACTGTTTCAAGATAAGTTGTAGTATGACTGTACAAAATGGTACAAATGAAATGTTTCCAGGTAAATTGTAGTATGACTGTACAAAATGGTATAAATAAACTGTTTCAAGATAAGTTGTAGAATGACTGTACAAAATGGTAAAAATGAACTGTTTCTAGATAAATTGTAGTATGACTGTACAAAATGGTATAATTGTACTGTTTCAAGACAAATTGTAGTATAACTACAAAATTATATAATGGAATTTTTTTCCAGGTTCTGGGTATAACTTTTATCACGGCACTTCTGAGCTTCCCCAACCCTTACACTCGGATGAACAGCAGTGAATTAATTAGGTTGTTGGTCAGCAGGTGTGGCCCCGAGGATAATATTGAGCTCTGGTATGTAGAAGAAAACGTTTGTTTATTTTCTGATGATGATTTTCTGACTCAGTCATTGAAAAAGAAAATATTGATGCTTTTGAACTGAAATTCTGAGATTACCATAGCCCTAGGAAAAAAAAAACAGTGAAACATCCTACATGATCTTAGTATGAAGGAGAATTGGTTCATAAACAGCATCCTGTTCCGAAAAAAAAGGTGAGGTAATTTAGCTAAGTCGGCGTCTGTGGCCTAGGTGTTGCCAAAGCGCTTCGTAATGCCGGGGTGCCGAGTTCAATCTAGGCTGTAGACAGCTTGTCTAGTATTGGTTTCAACAGTGGTACCGAGAGCTGACCCTTCAAAAGCAATGGCAACCTACTGAATGTGAAAGTTGCCTAGAAAAACCACAACAGCCAAAAAAATACTGGGGTTGGTTCTTCAACGTCCTGTAAAGAATATGCAGCTAACTGTTTAATTTGGCTAAGTTAAACATCATGGTGGCTTGCCATGAATGGTGATGCAGCGCACAGTTGATGGACAATGAGGCAGAGGCAGACCTCCAAACAGGTGGATACAAGACATTGAAGAGGCATTGGCTGTGAAAGCACATAGGGCTGGAAAATTGGCTAGAGAAAGAGACACTTTAAGTGCAATCGCCTGTGAGTCAAGGAATTAACAATCTGCATACAAATAAGCCAGATTTGTAAAATGGATGTGCACTCAAACCTCAAGTTCTGGAACAAGACCAGATTCCATGTCAGGGGTCATCCCGGTTATGGGACAGTTCAGGTTGATGATGATGAATCAGCAAGGCTGTGGATGGTGACCCCTAACTAAACTCAGGGCCAGTGCAGACAAGCTGATACACTGATAGCTGAACTAGACTTGCCTGGCGTCAGCGGGCTTCACAAAGTGTTGACTGAACCCTGGGAGTTCAACAAAACAACTGCGCAAAGAATGGATCAGGGATTCTTGGGAGGACATCTGTGTGACCTGGACGTTGTTTGACCAGATCATTAGATTGTAATAGTTCATTGACAGATTGTAACGACCGGTAGAAATGTTTGTTAGATGTGATTTGTACCGTCCAATGTTTGACTAAATGTAGTTAGTACTTTACGGTGTAGGTAGTTCACTTTGATCTCATTTAGCAGATAGATTTTGGATAGCAGTTAGACTCCTGTCAGTAAGGATACCTCAGCCATGCATTATTTGTGGCAAAAGCCTCTGCCGACACACCTCCGGCCTTCACTCTGCGTGTGCCACAGCATCCTTGGCATCAGAAGACAATGAGCTGAGATAGCGCTGTATGGGAGTGGGGTAGGAACTCAGAGCTTATTTCATGAAAAGTAAAAAAAAGCGCGTCTAGCGATTTTAAAGCTAGAACGTCTGGGGTTCAGAATAAAGAGCACTATCGCTCTTGAGACAAAACTCCATGAGTTCGTATTCTTAGATAATAAAGATTGTGCGTGTGTTCAACCAGTGTTTGACTTGGGTGTGTTCATTAGCAGAGTTTATCCATCATCGGCCTGCAGCGCAGCCATAGACATGTAGGTCCTTGACAGTCCAAAAGTAGACAAATGACCGGAACTTTCCGTCAAAGTTGTAGCCTGTGAACACAAAGAAGACTGGAAAGATCGGTAGCAGTAAAGATCGTGTGAGTGCTGAGGACCCATTTAGGGTGACTGGGGTAATAAACCCACTACACTGATAACAAGCATGTCAAAGGAAGCAATCACTTAGAGGCGTTTCCTTAGAAGTTGGAGTGCATCTGCCTGACAAGTAAAGAATCAACAGTCTGCATGCAGATAAGCCAGATGTGTGAACTGGATGTGCACACAAAATTCAAGTTGGGAAACAAGACCAATGTCTAGAGTGAGTGAACAACCTGAACTTTCCATCAAAGTTTACAGCTGGTGAACATTAAGAACAAGATCAAAAAGACTAGTATGTTTTTATAAACATATTTTAACCTTTCAACCTGTTTTCTTTTAGCGACTATAACCGCAGCCATAATCTGACAGATGTATTCAAGTATTCAGCACTGTCAGGACCTATGGTATCCAGTGCCATGTGGAAGTTAGCTCTAGCACTCATCTTCAAGATGGTCATTACAGTCTTTACATTTGGCATTAAAGTGAGTTATCTTGAGGTCCTGGCAGGTGGTCTTTTGACTACAATAAATACTGCCTAAGCCTGTTCTCTGGAGAGGCAAAACTTCATCCCTGGCCTTAATTGGTCATGCCAACAAATCAATCGGCCTGTCCTTACCTGCATACAACTGCAGATTACACTTGACTGGAGTAGCCATTACAGGTGTCCTTATTATAAATTTTTGGAGGTTAAATAGGGTATCTGGGATCTACATTGTTGGTCTGCGACCAGATTGAGAATTGTGAATCTTAGGATAGTGGGGTAAACCTGTAGATAGCAGCCAGGAGGGAACAACCTGATCAGTCGATAGGGAGAAGTTTTAGGTTATTAATCCTTGCAATTTGCTTGTGTGGTCTTATAAGGAAAAACAAGACTAGACCCGCTGCCCGCCCAAAAGCATGCCAATAGAGTCGAATGATTGGGAGCTTCCTTTGAAGTCAGAGTGGGAAGGTCTTTCGCCGTTCAGGCAGATACCCTCTGACTTTGATTAAATACCCCTTCCTAAATTTTATGAGATGCTTGTTACTAATGTTTTTAAGCTGTTGGTAAAATATCTTGTGATTGTTCCAGGTCCCAGCAGGTCTGTTTATTCCCAGCATGGCTGTCGGAGCTATCATAGGAAGAATCATTGGCGTGGGCTTTGAGCAGCTGGTTGTGTAAGTTGTGGCTTTAGTGCATTTGGTGTTTTTCTCTCAACTCTTTCAGTTTCAGTTTCACAGGACGTGCCCAAATGAAGAAATTACCATTACGAAAAATCATTAATTTTTTCAGTACCAGAAGGTTTGTCAGGATATGGCCAAGGATGGATGGGAGATGAACAATATAGAGATGTGAGTGCATCAGTTTCAAAGAACTTTAACGAACGAACTTTATTTATTTTCAAAGGGTTACAAATTAGGCACGCAGGCCTGTCTTACATTCGGCCCTTCCAAACTCCAGTCTTTCACACAGCAGTTGTATCTCATCAAAAAAGCATGTTATGTTCATGTAATAATATGCATATTATGAATATCAAGTCAAAAACAAAAGCATGGGTGGTAAAATATGTGCGCACGCTCGCACGCGAACACACACACCCACATACACATGCAAATCCATTCACTCACTTACACACATAGGCACCCAATACACCCATACATACGAACATGCACACACACATACATACACACATACGTATGGCATACAAAAAAAACACACACACACACACACCGACGCACACAAACGTAAACCCACACAGACACACACACATATACATACACACAAGTAGCTGCACAAAAAGACCCATACAAACACACAAACCGGCACACACAGACATAAACCCACACATGCAGTCACAGGCACACACACAAACACATACACACACGCAGGCAGGGAAACACACAGACACACACATAGACATAGGCAACACTCACACATAAACACAGATACACACAGACATACACATACAGAGACTAACTTAGCACTGGATTTGGCCATTAGTTTTAATATGCTGTAACCAGATGTAATTAAACACATAATGCTTCTTCTTCTTCTTCTCCTCCACCTTGTACCTCATCAAAGTGTCGGGGGGATATTTAATGTTCGTTGATGGGCTCTGTCAAGAGCACTATTTAGACTGATGTTCATTTCTTTAAGGCTGTTCCTAATGCCATCACTCCATATTTTCCGAGGTCTTCCACTCGCTCTATACCCGTTGTAACGTTTTAGTGTGGCTCGCTGTGGCGGATAGTACCAGGACATTCTTGTGTCTAAACCACTTCATTTGTTGTTCTTTGATGACCTGTAAGACTGGCTTTATTCCTAGCATTCGTCTGATTTCATGATTTCATATTCTGTCTTTCCTTGAAACTCCTACAGCTCTTCTAAGGCATTTCATCTTTGTTGTCACAATTTTATGTTCATTGGAGGATGTAAGTGTCCACGTTTGGCATTGATATCATAGTGTTGGCCAAAAAATAGTTTTGATAAAATAGTTCACATAATGCAATGGTTGGGATTCATGTGGCCATGCGATGGATGAGTGGAAACAATAGTGTCGGATTTGCAAAGCATGCTCAGGAAGGTGGATTCCAGTTTTTCATATGGAATGGGTGACATCAGTCCAGAGGTCGCAAGTGGTAAGATTTACATGGATATTTTGCCTGGGCCATTCCGGTGTGTTTGGGAATGAGCAGGCAGATAGACTGGCTGGAATGGCCCCATTTGGGGGTGTACTGCAACTGCACAAGGCAGAGGTGATCTCAAACCTGTGGGACAGGATAACAGGTGAAATAGAGGATACTGAAAATCCATACCTGGAGAGAAAGATACAGAGAGGAATGGCTGTGGGCTTTGGGCACCACACGAGACTCAGAGGGAAGGCAAGACAAGTAGTTAACCAGATGACGAGTACCATCGGTAGGGAAACTCTCTGCTGTCTCTAAGGCGAGAGACAGAACTAATTAAGGCTTGCCCTGAATGCTATAATGCTGAATCTTTACCCAGATGAACTCGGATACTTTGTGTAGTTTAACTGAAACAACCCATCTGTTTATGCTTTCTTTAAACTTTCTTTAAACAAATTTATTAATGCTGTCATTACATTTTTTACTGTAGCTAAATGGTGTAACAGATACTGTCCATTTGCTGTAGCTTTCCTTACGCTTTTTAGCAAAGTCAAGACATCTTTGTGTTGTCTTTAAACTTTCTAACAGAAACATCATGTCTGTTTATACTTTATAGTAAGTTTTTGGCGTATCCTTTACAGTACGTTGGAGAACCAACCCCAGAATTTTTGGCTGTTGTGGTTTTTCTTGGCAAATTTTGCATTCAGTAGTTTGCCATAGCTTTCTGTATGGTCAGCTCTCTGTACCACTGTCAAAACCAAAGCAAGACAGATCGTCCACACCTGGGATCGAAACCGGCACCCCGGCATTACAAAATTCATTTTTTAATGCTGTCTTTAAACTTTCGAAAGGAACAGCCTATCAATTTATGCTGTCTTGAAACTTTCTGACAGAATACACATGCCTATTGATATCATGTTTAAACTTTCTTAAAGAATAAACAGTCTGTTGCTACTGTCTTTAAACTTTCTATCAAAATAAACAATCAGTTGGTATGTCTTTAAACTTTCTAACAGAATAAACATGTATGTTGATTCCATCTTTAAACTTTCTAAAACTTTTTAACAGAATAAATACATCTTTTCGATCCTGTCTTTAAAGTTTCTATAAAAATAAACGTGTCTGTTGATACTGTCTCTAAACTTTCTAACTGAAATATCCCATGTGTTGAAAATGTCTGTAAACTTTCTGACAGAAACAACCCATCCATTGTGCTGTTCTCTGGCATCTGTGAGTCTCCAGGCAAGTGTATCGTGACACCTGGCCTGTATGCCATGGTTGGAGCCGCAGCAGCTCTGGGTGGGGTCACACGCATGACGGGTGAGTGTCTGGCTACAATGGTCCTTGTAATTTATTTCTGTCTAGCCATGAATTTGTATCTGTTGGGTACATGCAGGCAGATCTGCTGTTCTTTCTCCTGGTCTCTGGATAGTGAGATCTGATGCCTGTGTGCATTGTTGTCCACGTAAAAAATCCCTTGGCAGTTGGAAATAGAGAAGAGAAGCCTAACGGCGCTGCCCGGCCAAAATTAGGAGTTAAAAATCAATCCAAACTTTTTCAGGATCCTTGCCAGTGCTGCAGAGCCTGTGCACTATGCTGAGCTTCTTTGGACTCAGGTTTGAGTTAGAAGAAGAACGGAGCACTTAGGGGTTACACCTGTGTGCCATGATGTTGATCCGTCGATCAAAACCTCAATTATAAGAAAGTGTATGTAAATCCTCATTCCATTTGCATTCCTGATACCATTTTTTAAATATACTGTGTTCCTATAATCTATCAAGAGAGTGTTGGATTAATAGTGGACATCACAGCACTCAGGACATTCCTATAAGTGCTCTGTCCTCATCCTCAGTAGCAAGCACAGTTCCAGTTCTGATGGCACCAGTCAAGAAAATAGTGAAGAGAATGGTGCTGGCAAAGTCTCCATAACTTTAATTTAGAGGGTGGGTCCTTGGAACACTAATGTTCAACTACAAGCTAATGAAGAGAGAAGGCACATGCAGTCCCAGTAAGGTTTTAGAATAGATGTATTTATTGCAGCTGTCAAGCAGAATGAAGGAGAGCTGAAAGCAAGTAGGCAGTCTTGGGAAAAGAAATACACTCAGATAACTGGCTAATGTTTGAACTGAAGTCTAAATCAGTGGGAAAAATCAACAGGCATACTCTAATGCAAAAAAACAACAAACATTTGAGGGGAAATTACAATAACCACACCTTATCTTGTATTTAACAGGTTAATATGGACAGGTTACAAGACAGTGGCGCGGTTATTGTAATTTCTATCACAAATTTGAGGTTTTCACTTAAAGCTTCCTCATAGTCCACCCATTATTTCAACAAACCAACATTAACCAGCACATCCGTTGCTGCCTTCACTATCTGTCATTTCTGTCCACAGTCTCCCTGATTGGCAAGAGATTATTTGTTTCAACAAACCAGCATTAACCTACACATCCGTTGCTGCTTTTACTTACTGCCCTATCTGTCCACAGTCTCCCTGGTTGTGATCATGTTTGAGCTGACCGGCGGCCTAGAGTACATTATGCCCATGATGGCGGCAGCCATGACCAGTAAGTGGGTTGGAGATGCCCTGGGACGAGAGGGAATGTATCCTTTTTTTTATATGAGTCGTTATTTCGGTTATCATCACTGCAGACACGTCTATAAGTGCTCAGACTCCCTTTTCAACATATATGTCAGCATGTCGCGACTAATAGTGGCAGGCATATGCTAGTTGGCACAACTTCTTGTGACTTTGGTATGCCTCTCATGACTGGCTGTGCTAATCTTAACTCCAAATTCTTGCATTCTTATCCATTTATATTTGCTGCTTTTCAGTCGGGTATGTAGGAACTGCCATGCTATAGTGGCCAGATGTTTTCCTGCGTATCTGAAGGTCGTGAGTTCACATCTGAAGGAAGCCTGGCTTTTTTCAAATCTGACTTTTGCTCTCAGGTCAACCCAGCCTCATTTGGGTACCAGGTAAAGTCCTGGGAAGTAAAGGCGCCGGTGTTATGTTGACCACATCGCCCACTGAGTGCTGACTGGCCTATACAATATGGGCGTAGCACTGAATGCCCACTACACCTGAAGGTGTGAAAAAGTATCTTTTATCTCACGAAGGTATTTGGTTTGTGTGGATGCAGTGTTTGGAAAGAGGTCACTGATGTCATCTGCATAAATTATATCGTCTTCTTCTGCATTCATCTGTAGATGTAATTGTGTGTGCCTGTTTACAGAATGGCTGCAATATCTGCACCTTTAGGCCGACACACCTGACTTCTGTAGGCATTTGTTGACTGGGTTGGCCTTCCTGGATCTGTTTAGTATAAAAATGCTGTTCTGTGCCAGGTTGAGAGCATCGGTGTACATTGGTTAGATGCTTGCCTTTGGCCTGAAGGAAGGAAGAAATATAAAACTGAATGAAAAGTATATCAGCGAGCTTCACAATATAACAAACACAAATAAAACGTGAGCGTTGTGGCTATGTAGCCTTCTTCAGCACATATATAGATTAGACAATACTACACAAATACACAGTATCACTTATCTTCCTATCTCGTGGCAGCCAGGTCGATGTCAAGACAATAGCCTGTGAGGCACGCCTGAAAGATACTTAATGACTAGGTCTCCCAAGTCGACTCAGTCTAAAATGGGGACCAGGAAATATCGACAAAAGTAAAGATGGTCTTTGTGGTATTGACCACATTGACCATTGAGTCAGACGATATGCCCACTGTGCCAATGGTGTTGGAAGATTATTTTATGTATTTACTACGCTGGCTAAGAGTCGTGGACTCTTACTCAGTCATCCAAAAAAAAACAAATAAAGCTTTTGAACTGAAATGATACAGAAAATTCTTAGAATAGCATGGACCAAGAAGAAGAAAACACACACATCCTACATGATCTGAACATCAAGGAGAATTGGCTCATAAACAGCATCCTGGAGTATCCTGGCTGGAGTATTTGAAACATCTTTAACATCATGGTGGCCTAAAAAGAATGGCAGTGGAGGGTACAACTTGTGGGCAGTGAGGGAGAGGCAGACCTCCATGAACGTGGATACAAGACATTGAAGATGCATTGGCTATGAAAGTATATAGGCCTGGAGAAATTACTAAAGAAAGAGAGACTTTCTGGCCTGAAATGGTGACACCAACATTCTGGAATGGATTCCTTGATTGATAAGGATGATGATATCTGGCTATGATGAGCTTGCCGGAAAGTAGAAGTATAAACTTTCACAAAGCTAAAAATATTTTCTTCTGGGCATGCCAGAGTGTTGGGGAATGAGAAGGCAGATAGACTGGCTGGTTCTGATTTGATGTGTGACAAGCTAGATGTTGTGAGGGCCTTTTGGGAGCAAGTAAACAGTGAGGAGACACAAACAGATCATTAGGCTCTGAGGAGAATAGTGTTGCGGAGAGTTACCATGGATCTGGCCGAGGCTCAACACTGAAAAGAGGATATACAATCAGATAGTTGCTGTTGTCATCAGAATCGGAACTCTTCGCTTGCTGCCGAAGATGGGGACGGAGCGTTTATGAGGGGTGTCAGGAGGGCTGCGATGTTGATTCCTTATTCAACATTCACAAAACCAAGCAGTATAAGAGTTCTTGAACTGCTTTAGTAATAAATTTGTTAAAATTCTACACCTTTGTTTTGTCTTTTTTTTTTTTGCTTACTATGTGAAAAGATCCTTAACTTTTTTTTTTTAACTACTGTCTTGAGTATCTGAAAGTCATGCAACAAAGTTGAAGGTCTTGAGTTCATAAGTTGTGTATAATAAACACTGCCCTTAACAGGCACAAAGATATGATGCTCATATAGCATTGAATGGTTACCCTTACCTGGACTCCAAGGAGGAGTTCACCCATACCACCATTGCTGCAGATGTTATGAGGCCACGGTAAGTTGAAAATGTTCATTTCTGTGTCATGCAGCACTTCAGACATGAAGTTAACTCTTTAGCTCTTTGAGTCCCAAGGGGGTTTAGCGTCAGAGACCCAAGGGGTAGTCAAAAGAGATGTAAAATTGGCGCATCTTGCGTTTATTGGGTCTCTAGGAAGGAACCTATGAACATATGATGCGTTCCTTGGGACTCAAAGAGTTAATGTCTTAAATCATTTATAAAAGCTGAAATGAACCCTTTTATTTCACATTGCTCTTTAAACACTTTAGATAAACTGTTGAGTCTAATATCATTTTTTTTTTTTTTTTGCATTGGGAAATTAACCCTTTTGTTTCAGATGATAGTTGAGAGTGCTTTCACATTAAATCTGTAAGAATCGTGTAATTATTTGTGCATCGTGAAATTAACCCTTTTTGTTCACATTCTACTTTGAACATTATTATTTGACCTCGGTATGTCTTATTTTTCTTTGAGCATTCTGAAATTAACCATCCTTTTTTGTTGTGTGTCTTACATTCAATTATGGAAAGATATAAAACTGAACGAAAAGTAGATCAGCGAGCTTTGCCTTGTAACAAACACAAACAAAACATGAATGTTACTACTGTAGAGCCTTCATCAGCACATACATAAATTAAACAAAACCACATGAATACACAATTACAAACAATTAAGCCTGATCTGTAAAGTGGAAATGCATGCAGAACAAAAGTTGTGGAACAAGACCAAAATCTAGAAGTGGACAAACAACCAGAATTTTTCATCAAATGTTATAACTGAGGAAGGCTAAGAAAAAGAAGAAGAAGGAATGTACATATATTAGGTCTTCTGGGGAACATCTTGCCAGTGCTGCTGCTTCTTCTTCTCCTCCTCTAGTCCTGTTCTGCTTTTGAGCGCCAGGTTTTGAATAGGCATCGGGTGCAAGCCGTGGTATTTGCTGCGTAGATGCTGGTGTTTACAGCTTTAGATATTCCATCAGTCCATCGCTGACATGGTCCATCTCTAGTTCTGCTGTCATTGTGTCTAAGTGACAGAGCTCTCTGTGCTGCATTCTCTCAGCTCTGCCTGCTGGACATTGTGTCCAGTAGAAGCCCAGTAGATGTAAGGTACACTGAGTTTACTTCTCTTTTCTGCATTCTCTCAGCTCATCCTTCTGGACATTGTGTCTAAGTGACAGAGCTCTCTGTGCTGCATTCTCTCAGCTCATCCTTCTGGACATTGTGTCTAAGTGACAGAGCTCTCTGTGCTGCATTCTCTCACCTCATCCTTCTGGACATTGTGTCTAAGTGACAGAGCTCTCTGTGCTGCATTCTCTCAGCTCATCCTTCTGGACATTGTGTCTAAGTGACAGAGCTCTCTGTGCTGCATTCTCTCAGCTCATCCTTCTGGACATTGTGTCTAAGTGACAGAGCTCTCTGTGCTGCATTCTCTCAGCTCTGCCTGCTGGACATTGTGTCTCAGTTACAGAGCTCTCTGTGCTGCATTCTCTCAACTCTGCCTGCTGGACTTGTGTCTAAGTGACAGAGCTCTCTGTGCTGCATTCTCTCAGCTCTGCCTGCTGGACATTGTGTCTAAGTTACAGAGCTCTCTGTGCTGCATTCTCTCAACTCTGCCTGCTGGACTTGTGTCTAAGTGACAGAGCTCTTTGTGCTGCATTCTCTCAGCTCATCCTACTGGACATTGTGTCTAAGTGACAGAGCTCTCTGTGCTGCATTCTCTCAGCTCTGCCTGCTGGCCAGATTCTTGATCTTCTGCACCCCCATGCCTGACACATTTTTCAGGCCTACGGTTTGTTTTTTTCTGTCCACATTCATGCTAGTCTACTCCTGCCTCTTCGTATCGGAACCATGCCTACGTCTGTCACTATTCTTTATGTGCCACTGTGCAATTTAATATCATCATCATCATGTACCCTGCTGACTGGCCTAGGCGATTGTGTGTCAACACAGTCTACAATTTTCAGCAACATGTATCAGTTCATATGCTGTCACCTCACCATTCCATGACAAAAGGCTATCAAAAGTCTTCTCTCGTTGTCTTCCTCTGTATTTTTTTTTTCCACAGATCTTTCCTGTAGTCTCATCATGTTCCAGCTTTCTTCTTCTCGCAACAAATGGTGACTGTCTCTGTTTGATGTTTGTGACAAGTTGTCTTCGAACTCTCGCCTCTTTCTAAACATCTTGTTGCCCCATTTGGCTAATTGATTAAAATAGCCACAGTATTTCTGTTTCCGAACCACTGTGTGAAACAATCCAGTTTTATTTGATGTTAGATCAGGAAGTACATGACAAAGACATACAAAGACAGCAAATCAAATAGTTTGCCCACTTGAAGAGAAAGTACTATAACACCCTACCATAGAAGGCTTACACCAAAAGAGGAGATGGACGTAAAGCACAAGGTAGACCAAGAACAAGATGGACGTAAAGCACAAGGTAGACCAAGTACAAGATGGACGTAAAGCACAAGGTAGACCAAGAACAAGATGGATGTAAAGCACAAGGTAGACCAAGAACAAGATGGACGTAAAGCACAAGGTAGACCAAGAACAAGATGGACGTAAAGCACAAGGTAGACCAAGAACAAGATGGACGTAAAGCACAAGGTAGACCAAGAACAAGATGGACGTAAAGCACAAGGTAGACCAAGAACAAGATGGACGTAAAGCACAAGGTAGACCAAGAACAAGATGGACATAAAGCACAAGGTAGACCAAGAACAAGATGGAAGGATAACATCAGAAAAACTCGACATCAGCTTGATGTGTCTGTGGTCAAGGCGGCCAGAAGAGCAGGAAGAAGAACCTTATGTTTCCCTTGACATCTGTAGTGGAAAAGAGCGAGTGAAGAACAAGAAGAAGCTATAATTACAGATATACATGTAATAGTTGTGTATCCTTTATTGGACATTGCAGAAACGACCTCAGCATGTTTTGGCTGTTATGGTTTTTTTAGGCAAATTTATGTTCAGCCATTTGCCATTGCTTTCTAAATGGTCAGCTGTTGGTACCACACTCAAAACCAATGCAACACTCTCATATTCATAGCTTAGATTAAGAGGGCCAAGGTGCATTGCCGAAAACCCTCCTAATCTTGTGCCAAGTCGGGTGGCTCAAGGTCTGCCAATCAGAAGTGAGCTAGTATATGGGTGGGATCTGGGGAGCGAAACATTAATTTTACCTGAATATGTCTAGATATAAACACATATGGTTTCTCACTTTTGCAGACTGAGTTTCAGGTTGGTCACTTCAGTTTAATTTACAATGCACATTTCCCACCCCTGACTTTAGCCAACCCATTTTTCCCCCAACAATTTGGCTTCACATTTTCTTCTCTCACAATGTACATTTTCAGTCATATTTACAGCATGAAGCATGATTTCAAATACAGAGTATTATATTGCTTGGCAATGTTCTCATGCAGTGGTGGAACAACAGCAGCTTTTAACTCTTTCCGTCTCAAGGAACGCATCATACGTTCATAGGTCCCTATGTAGAAGCCCAGTAGATGTAAGGTACACTGAGTTTACTTCTTTCTTCACTACACCTGGGGTCTCTGATGCTAAGCACACTAGGACTGAAAGATTTAAAAGCCTGAATACGATGTGATGTCTAATGTTATTTCAGTTTTACAATATGCCGGTGAAAGTCAGAGAACCACTGAAGACATGGAGTGGAAAATGAAATGTATTGGAAAACAAACGCCTGCGGAATTTGATAAACATTAAGGGGGGTGTGGTCATTGAAGGTAAAGAAATCAGAGAAATGTCTGGACAGCCGTTGGTATCTGTGGTTATGAGACTAAGAAGATGGCCCTATATTGGGCACGTCCTGAAAAGAACTGAGCAGAGAATCACCAGACAGGCACTGAAATATGAAACAGATGGATTGAGGAAGCAAGGATGTCAATTAGAAACACTGCGGGGAGAGGCCAAAGTTGCTAGACTGGATGGATTCCATCCATGATATCAGAAGAATAGCACAGATAGAAAGAATGGAGAACTGGACTGTGAATCCTATATGACATATGACAAGATGCAAATGATGATGATAATGGTTGCTTCGCACATTGATAGCGCAAAATACCACAGACCATGTTGGGTGGAGGAGGAAAAAATAGGAAGGGAGTGGGAATAAAGGAAACAAAATGTCTGCAGAAAGGTTGAGAGCTGAGCATCTGGGAAAAAACACACTTAATACATGTGATGGCAACAATGGTCCCGAAATCCCATGTTCTAGTTGAGGGAGGCTTCCTAACTTGGGTGGGTCTGGCTAGTCACACTCACTGTCGCCACGGGCTGTAAGTCCCATGCTTCCCCATAGCCCAGTATAACACTGTCGTCTGGAAAGATGGAGAGGTACCAATGGACCTGTTCACATTTCCTAGCCCATCTACACATTTCTCAGTTTTATCTAGGTCAGAGGGGTGTCACGTTGTACTGCTTTCTTTGAAAAGTCTTTCCTGTGACCTAGGTTGAGGCTGTGGCTAGGGGGTTTGGGTTAGGGCCAGTTCTACATGTTCTTACGTGGTTGAAAGCTGTCTCATCATGTATTATAGAACACATGATATCGGCGCGGATGTAATTGGAGGGTAGACAACAAGACACCCCTCCAACATAGAAGAGTCTGGGAAAGTATGAATGAAAGGGTAGGTAGTGTGTAGATTGACCAGGAAACATGAACATGACGGTGCCAACAACAACAAGCATTTATTTAAATCACTTTCTTCAGCCAGAAGCTCAACAAATGCATCTAAAGTCTAAAGCACCGGGGAGTCTGCAGCAAAGTTGTTAAGTCTTTTACCTCAGATTCTAAAGGTCACAAGTTCATTCACATGTATGCACACACTTACACACTGAACTATATAATACATAAAAACCATCTCAATACTTCTACACATGTGGGGTTGCTATTTCTACTAGATTTTGACTTTTCCATTGCAAAATGCTTCCAGCACTCTTCCTTGAATTATCCGTGTGAGCTACTTATGTTGACCTGT